GGGCGAGCCACCGGAGCCGGGCCGTGGGTCCGGGTGCAGGCCGGGGCCCCGTGGGCCCCCTGGAAGATGTCTCAGGAGAGGCCCACGTTCTATCGGCAGGAGCTGAACAAGACCATCTGGGAGGTGCCGGAGCGGTACCAGAACCTGTCCCCGGTGGGCTCCGGCGCCTACGGCTCTGTGTGGTGAGTGTCGCCGGCCCGGGGGCTGCGGCGGGCTGCCCCCCACCCCCATGCACGCCCGCGGTCCAGGCCTGCTCCGACGTCCCCGTGGCTCAGCGATGCGCCCAGCGGCAGGAATTTTTCCTCAGGGCTGGGCATCGCTACCCCCCTGAGCCCGGCCTGCCCTGCACCCCGCACGCTGGCTGTACACCAGAGAGGCGGCCAGCCGCGTGCACCACCACGCAGGTCCGCAGTGGGCGGAAGGTGGTGTGCTCAGCCCTGGCTCCCACCCCGCGCCTTTCCTTCTTGGTGTGCTGCTCCTCTGGGGGGGATTGGGGTGTGTGTGGGGGGGGAGTGGGAATCGCGGGAAGCGAAAGCCTCCCTGCAGCCATGGAGCAGAAGGACCCTTTCCCGGGCCACCCGGGGCTCCAGAGCTTGCCTAGGTTACTGTTGGGAGGAGCAGGAGGGCGAAGCCCGATCAGTAGATTGTGGTCATCTGAACGAAACTGAAGGGCAAAGGCGCTCCCTCCCGACCTTTATAATAACAACAACAACAATTATTATTATTATTGCAAGCCTCTGTCGAAATCTCGTTTATGAATTCGCACTTGTGTTAGCAGCGGTCCACAGAACTTAAAATACCGACTTTATCTCGGGAGCGCAGTGCCAGCTTGAGTGGTGTGTTTCCGATTCGGTTGAAAGCGTATTTCCTTTTCGGGGAGGGCGGGTGGCTGAGCCTGCGAGAGCCCTCCCTGCGTGCAGCTTGAGAAACTGGGAGCCTCTGGGTAGGCACATTGTACCTTCTGCTCATTTAAGTATTGTTTGACAAAACACTTTTCTCCTGTGGAGCAATCGTGATTCCGATCTGCTGGGCGCCCTCAAGATCAAAGTTATTAACAGTGCTGGGAGGTATTATAAATATTTTAAAATTTAGATAATTCCTGAATATAGTTTGGTGTCTCACTTCCACTCCCCCTCCTCCCCACCAAAGTCCCTTCGAGGCTTTGCAGGGAACCTTATCTTCATGTATGGCCTGAGGTACACGATTGTTTTCATGAGGAACATAAGCAAAGCAAAGGAAGAATAAGTTTCCAGCTTTAATTTACACTGGGTGTTTTAAATTAAATCCATGCCATAAAATTTCCAGACCTGGACTATTCTACCAATTTTCAAAGTTTTATAACCGTATTTTAGACTTAATGATTTGAGGCGCTCCTGATGTGAAACTAAATATCAGATTTAACCCTTAGCTTTTTCTGTCTTTATATTTTATGTGCATGCATTATTTTTTTAAAAAAAAGAGTCTGTGATGTGCTTATTGTTTTAGAATAAATTCCAGGGGGCTTCTGGATATGTTAACCTTTAAATACTATTCCCGTGTTTTTTAAAGTACAGCATGAATTTCCTGTTTGGTAGAATCTTCTGGGTAATTGTGATTGTGCAATTGTGTTCTGCAACAGATCGAATTGCATTCTCTCGTTCAAGCTGCTCAAGTTATGGTGCAAATGGCACCCTGTGCCTATTTTATATATAGATATAGATAGATATTTAAGGGAATTTGCAACATTTTACATTCAGTATATATACTTGTTGATTTGTTAATTTTTACAGATGTATTTGGATCAGCTCTCCTTAATATATATCTCCATTATTCATTGTTGAACTGACACATTAATAGAGTATCAGGTTTTTGTTTCCAGTGTTGAGTGATATGGAAGAATACTCAACTATCCAGAGTGTAGGTGAACTTTAACAAGTTAAATTCCTTGCAAAGTTTACTACTATTGGTGGCGGGAAAGAGGTCTAGATTTTTCAGGAAGTGCCATTAACATAAACTCCATATTTCTTTAGTTTTGTGCCTTTCTGTCAGTATCTGACAACTTTTAAAGTACTTTTGCTAGATATGGATTTTTCTCTGTCTCAATATTAGGTTAATCTATTTTTTTATAAGGTTCAAAAAGGTATTCAGAAGTCTGTTGCTGGCTCTGTTGTCTCCCTTAGAAGCTGCCACTGTTAAATTTCTTGTCTTTTCAGGAATTTTTTTGCCTCTGTGTGTGTGTGTTATTTCTACTGCTGTAACAGGAAAAGACAGTTGACTGTAAACAAATGTTTCAGACTGCAGATCCCAGAATTTAGATTTGAGTTATTTCATTCAGAATACTGTAGTTATTTTAAGTTGTTCTTTCAGCTAGCAACTTTTCAGGAATGAATGACAGAAAATGTGTTTGAAACTTCTCTTTGAATCTACTTTGAGGTCTTTGCTACTTTCCTAAATCATCTTCCCTTTGAAAGCAGGTTTGATGTTAAGGAATAACAGAGTCGATCTGAATACAGATAACAGAAGGAATTTAGACTCAAACCTGATGAAAAAGATAAGCCCATTTGGGGATGGTGTTTTATGTCAGATAGGAGTTATAACTCCTACTGGATCTGAGGTCTGTTGGAGGAAAAAAACCACTGAGAATTTTGCCTCGACCGGGGGCTCACATTTGTAATCCTAGCTACTCAGGAGGCTGAGATCTGAGGATCGCAGTTCAAAGCCAGGCTGGGCAAGAAAGTCTGTGAGACTCTTATCTCCAATTAACCACCAGAAAACTGGAAGTAACACTGTGGCTCAAGTGGTAGAACATGTGCCATTAGCTGAAGATCTGAGGGATAGCGCCCAGGCCCAGAGTTCAAGACCATCAACAAATAAAAAAAACTGAATTTTATTTTAAGGCTTACAACATTGGAGAAATAGCTTCTCAATTTTGTTACTCTGAGCATTATACTTTGTTACACTTTGATGTGTAACTTTGATTTTTTAAAGTATGGAGCCTACTTTTATTTAGTACTATGTAGAAAAAAGAAACAGCTTGTAGAATAACCAACTATGACTCAAAGGTCAAACAAACTAGAATTTTGAGAACTGATAGTCTTGCAAGTGTCTTTCTTTCTAAAAGGGTAAGGGAACTATTAGGAACTTTGTTTTTAAGGAACTTTGTTCTTTCCCTGTGAGGGGAAATGAAGCAAAATTGTTTAAGACTAAGTTGTTGCAAGGCATTGTTTTTGTGGTTTTGGGAAGAATCTTTGTGGTGAGTTTAAGGAAATATAAACAGGAACTTAAGTGCCTTTCCTCTGGGGTAAGGTTTTTCCAGTCTCTTGCTGTTGACTAAAAATGGGAACACTGGTAACCATAAAGTGGGAGGTGAAGCCAGGTCCCGGTGGCTCACACCTGTAATTCTAGCTCCTCAGGAGCCTGAGATATGAGGATCACTGTTCAAAGCCAGCCTGGGCAGGATAGTCCATGAAAGTCTTATCTCCAATAAACCACCAGAAAACCGGAAGTGTTGCTGTGGCTTAAGTGGTACAAAGTGTGCCTTTAACTGAAGAGCTCAGGGACATGCTCCAGCCCAGAGTTCAAACCCCATGATTAAGAAAAGGATGGGGAGTGAGATTTGAAGATTACTCCTAGATCATATTTAACTATTTGTTCAGTAATATCTATCACCAGGCTCAGACCTGTAATCTAGCTACTCAGGAAGTTGAGCTCTGGGGATCATGGTTTGAATATATCCTGGATAAGAAAAGTCCGTGAGATTCTTACCTCAAATTAACCAAAAAAGCCGGCACCGGTGGCTCACACCAGTCAGTAATCCTAGCTACTCAGGAGGCTGAGATCTGAGGATTGCGGTTCAAAGCAAGCCTGGGCAGAAAAGTCCGTGAAACTCTTATCTCCAATAAACCACCAGAAAACTGGAAGTGGCGCTGTGGCTCAAGTGGTAGAGCGATCACCTTGAGCTGAAGAGCTGAGGGACAATGCTCAGGCCCAGAGTTCAAGCCCCACGACCGACAAAAAGAAGAAGAAGAAGGAAGAAGAAGAGATAGATGGAAGTGGAGCTGTGGTTTAATGGTAGAAAAAGTTCAGGGACAGTGCCCAGGCCCTGAGTTTAAGCCCCAGGACTGGCACACAAAACAAAGTAAAACAAAGAAAACAAACTATGGGCCAATAGCTGGCTAGATTCTTGAGGTAGAGTGTTAAACAAGATAATCCATTCCCTTATATATTTTGTATCCTAGTGGGTTTAATTATCATATTTTATGGGTTGCTTAGTATGTTTAAGGTATTATACTGAGTATTTTACGTTTATCATCAGCATATAAAATGTATAACAAAACTTTTAGAACCAGGCACTGGTGGCTCATGTCTGTAATCCTAGCTTCTCAAGGTGGCTGAGATCTGAGGACCACAGTATCAAGCTGGCTATTGCAGAAAAATCTGTGAGACTCTTTCAACAAAAAGCTGGAAGTGGAGATATGGCTCAAGTGATCCTCATATCTCAGCCTTCTGAGTAGCTAGGATTACCAGTGATGCTACCCAGCTAGTATTCTGCTTTGGATTTCCTGCTAGTTTATCCTCTGAGATGATCTGTGTTTATGGTGCTGACCCTGGAGCTTAGGATTCAAAGGTAGAATTCGCCTGACTAGATCACGCTCACATTCATATCAGCTGACATTTTGGTGGGATTTCTGCAGTTAAAAAAATTTTTTTTAAGCTGGGGACTGGTGGCTCACACTTGTAATCCTACCTACTCAGGCTGAGATCTGAGGATCACGCGGCTCAAAGCCAGCCCAGGCAGGAAAATCTGTGAGATTTTTTTTCTTTTTTTTTTGGGCGGGGGTCCAGTCGTGGGCCTGAACTCTGGGCCTGGCGCTGTCCCTCAGCTCTTCAGCTCAAGGCTAGTGCCACAGTGCCACTTCTGGCTTTTTTTCCCCTGTTTATGTGGTGCTGAGGAATCGAACCCAGGGCCTCATGCATGCAAGGCAAGCACTCTACCACTGAGCCACCTTCCCAGCCCTCTGTGAGACATTTTTTTGTGTGTGTGTCCAGTCGTGGGGCCTGAACTCTGGGCCTCAGCTCTTCAGCTCAAGGCTAGCGCTCTACCACTTGAGCCACAGCGCCACTTCCGGCTTTTTTCTTTTTGCTTATGTGGTGCTAAGGAATTGAATCCAGGGCCTCAGGCATGCAAGGCAAGCGTTCTACC